TACATATATATATATATATATATATATATATATATATATATATCTATAATATATATATCTATAATCAAACTTGTGAATAAAAATAATATATTCAAAATATTACCTATAAAATTCGTTTGTTCGGATATATTGTATGAATTTTAGAATGAAACATTTAGATTAAATTTTTATTTTTATTTATTACGTACTCATGATTATTAAAATGAAATTTCTAAGAATGTTCTAATTGTAAGATAACTTTCAAACATGTCAAATAAATTCTTCGTATAGGAAAAATGGCAAGTCATCCGCAAAAATGGCCATTTAGATAAGAAACAGCTCGTATAATCGTATGGAAGAATTTATATATATATATATATATATATATATATATATATATATATATATAATTTATTATTTAAGTATAATATTATATATAGATTTATATATAATTTATTATTTATATATAATATTATATATAAATTTATATATATATATAAATAATAAATATGTATATTTGTAGTAATTTGTATAAATATATATATATATATATATGTATATATATATGTATATATATATATATATATATATATATATATATATATTAATTTAATCATAAAAAATGGAAAATCATAATGAAGAAATCGTAATAAATTTTTATATCGTTAAAAAATAATGACATTCGCGTAAATTTATGCATCTTATTAAACGAACTATACAAACTCGCACGCATGCACATTCGATTTGCAATGTAAAGTTGTAAATGCGAAGTGAACGTCATGTTAGTGTTACTTCGTACCAATTACAGGATAATTTATCGTCCGTCTGTTAATGCTTTGCTTTTGCTCACAATTCTTTTTTCTTTCTTTTTTTTTCTTTCCTTCTTCTCTTATTTTTTCTTTTCAATGATTATTTTTTGCTTTCTAATTTCCTTACAAATGACAGTTGAAGTTTTTTTATTTCTTCTTCTTCCTTTTTCTATCTTTTTTTTTTTAATATTTAATAGGCAGACGCAAATGTAATCGAATATATGTAAAAGGTATTTTTTGGTTAATCGAGTAACGATTTTTTCGCCACCGAATTTCATATAATTTACCAACAAATTAAACTTCATTATTCAAATTTTAATCAATTCACCTTCTTTTTCGAGAATAAAACGATATCTTAATTGTTTTTATATTGTACCATACTGTTAATTCAGTAAATTTATATTCGTCAAATTTCGTAGCGTCTACCCTTCTTCTGTTTTTCTTTTTTTTTTTTTTTTTTTTTTGTAAACACCGTCCTTTTTTATCGAATTCTTTTACTATGCGGATATTTTCTTCATCACAATATTTTCACGTTAATTCGATAATAATTAGATGCAAATAATTCCATAATAAATAAATAAAATATAATCGTTATGTAGATACATGTAGATATCTACAATAAAGTATCTTTTTTTTTAAATAATATGCTTTGTTTAAAAATTATTTTACCTTTCTCTCTCTCTCTCTCTCTCTCTCTCTCTCTCTCTCTCTCTTTCTCTCTCCATTTTATTTATATTCGACGAAACGTCATTATTATTCTTTTTTCTTTTTTATTATTGTTTAAGATATTATATTCGTGTCATTAACTATTTTTTGTCTAGATGAGATTAGAAATAAATTGAAAAACGATTAGAATGGTAATATAAAAAAACAACTTTTATAACAGACAAGAAACAATTCTATCGTTACTATGGTTATAATAAATTCGACTTGATAATTGAAAACTAGGAGTATAGTTATTGTCCAAGTACGTAAGTACATAATCCTACTTTTTATCAACATTTTTTTGCGGTTTCTGCGGGAAGCAACTATTTAGATAAAAGTCGTCTAAACAATGCCGGTGCCGGCATGTCCCGTGATGCTTCATACAATTTATTACTATAAGTTTAGTATATACGTAGCATATACATAAATATATATATATATATATATATATATATATATATATATATATAATGTGTGTGTGTATGCGTGTGGAATATGTATGATTCAAGAACTTATCTATAACACTATTTAACATTGTTCCACCTACACGATGAATTATCTTACATCAAAGTGTTTTATCGTTTCTAGGTTTATCATGCTTTACAAGTCTGGAATTTTCGTAATTAAAAGAATTTTTAATATAAGAGTTTTGAGTTTCTTCATTTTTTGTGAATTTGTGAATTTCCTTTTTTATTTTCTTTTTTTTTTTTTCTTAATTTTCGTATAAAAATATGTGTCAGTAATTTATCATATGTGTATATATATATATATTTATGTAGATATAAATATAGATATAAATATATATTTAAATTAATTGTATAATAGATTGAATTGTTAATATTCTCCACTTACACGATGAATTATTTTACATTAGGATTGAAATGTTTTATCATTTTTAGATCAAGTTGGATTAGTAATATGGAGACCGAAACTTCCGAAATGTTGATAAAAATGTTTAACCACAGATAAGTTTTAATATTACATTTGTGGTATATCTCATGATTATTTCTTTCTTTATTTCTTTATTTCTCCTTTTCTTTTCTTTGTATTTGTTTAGATTACGTTAAAAAATTTACGCACTTTCTATGCAACGTATTTTACGTAAGTATAATGTAAAAATATTACATATAAAAATCTTACATATATGTAGATATATAATTATATATACTATAACTTTTAATAACAATTTTATTGCAAATAAAAATATTTCAATTTTTGTCTTAATATCCTCTTATATATTATGATATTTTATTTTGTATTTTTGTTTCTATACATTTTCCTTATTTCGTTCTTTTTTAAATTTGTTCTTTTTCTTTTTTGTTTTCTTCTTCTTTTTTAAATTACGATATGGGAAAAATATTTTTAGAATCAAAACTTGCGTGTTTTGGTACCATTGAAAAATTTCTCATGCTCGTTACATCGGCCAGGAGTGATCGTAGCTGTTTACAAAGAATAGC